CTGTCTGGTTACGATTTTGACTATTAGTAATCATCAGCCGATGGACATTTATCTGGGCTTGCATTGTTGACAACTGTCTTCACGATCTGGGTTCACGGCATCATTAGTCATATGAGAGAACTGTCTCACGAGCACATGGTAACCAGAATGCAATAGAAACGAATATACATGTTTCTTGTTCACCAGCCCAAAGAAAGGATTGGAAGAAGCATGCGTCAGCGAGGCTTGTACCACAAGATCGCCTAGCACATAATGGGAATCAGTTTAAGTGGCCTCATCAACGGATGTATGGGGATGGTGGATGGAGTGCCTGGGTTGATTAATTGCGTGGATTATATCAATGGACAGATGAATCATAAAGTTCATGAGCATTACAATACAGCATATTACAGCCATTAAAAACCTATGTGCATCACAGGGAGTCCACCATTGTTTGTTCTAAGTAAAAAAAAAACAAAAAACACCCACAAATGCACACAAAATACACAGTAAATAATCACCTACCATGTTTCGGCCTTGCAGCTGATCAGAAGACACCGTACGACAAACGCGAGTGCCAAGGCATGAATACGATTCTGCACCAATTTCAGGGTAAATACACAGGACCCAATAATCCAGTCTGGCAAAGAAGCCATCAAATCAAACAAAGTAAATCAACAGTCAAGAAATGTAACCGACAATACATGACATCAGACAAATGCGGGTGATCCTTCTGACACTTGTCAAGAGGTCGAAAAAACAACTGCTTGCAGGCAAATCGATAGCAAATGGAAAACAACCAAAAAGATCAATAGAATGCTTGCCTCCACAACTTACCATATTGCCAACACGGCAGAAGTGTGAATGAGTTCACCACAACAAAGCAGGAAGCGATTGGGGAGAGGCAGTACCCTGACTCTTCACGACAAGGGTGATAGGGGTACACCCTATTGCTGCTATAGTCATGATACAATAGCAGGAAACTACCATCTTCACCCGGATATAACACCCAGGGGTTGTATATGAATATAACGCCCGGCAGACATTGTATTTCTTTATAATGCCTGGGCATTATATTCAAGTAAATCTGTAGCAGTTTCGGCGAGGCCCCGAAATTCGGGGGAAAAAAAAACAAAAAAAAACAAAAAACAAACAAACGGGGTAGACCATAAAATTCTGTAAACAGGATATGCTGTGTAGAATTGCAATGCAAACAACTTTTGGCTGCGGGTCACTTCAACATTCCTTAACAATCCGAAGATAAGCTAAAAATAGGAAAAACAGACCAAAGCACACCCCGTTGCAGTTACAACCCCTTTCAACCCCATTTGAAACCCCACGTATACCAACCCCCCCCCGGGGCACCCCGAAGGGGAATTATATTTGAAAACGAGTAGAAAAAGAGAATCTGACTTTATAAGGGTAAGTTGAATATAACGCTTGAGGAGTTCTTTTCAGGTTAAGACGGTGGTCAGTTTTGTGACCAAATCCATGCTTTCTTCACACCAACATAGCACCTGCAGGGCCGTGCCCTTGTGGTGGGTGCCACCACAAGATAGTCATAGGCTGGGCTCTGGGGCCTAGAGCTAAAATGAGGCATCTATTTTTGTCCGAAGAAGCCTCACTCCAATCAGGCCACAATCACAACCTTTTTCGACTGAATATGGTAGGAAATGCAGTCGCGTACATGCAGGAGAGTGCTAATGTGAGTGGGCCCACAGACTCAGTACTTTGCAAAAAATCCAGACATCAAAGCTTAGCGCTCAGGGCACAGGTTACCATCAGGGTTCTGGAACCACCATTTTTATTTTTTATTTTTTTTACTAAGCCGCCATTTTTTATCTAATGCCTGTTTAGCCCTGATTCACAAGAAAAGGGAAGTGGTTGTGTTCCTAGATGGAGCTTTGTCATTGAGCTTCAGGGTTCCAACTAATTCCATCAGGATGAAGCTGGTGGGCATGGCTAGCCGATGCATGTACGAGAGTGCCAATGTGAGTACGCCATCAGACTCCATAGCAAACAAGAAACCAGATACCAAAGATTAGCGCTCAGAAAATACTCAATTTTTGGGCTGAATCTGGTACGAATCGCTCGTCGATACATGCAGGAAGGTGCGAGTGTGAGTATGCCCTGTGGCTCGGTAAGCCCCAAACAATCTAGATACCACAGCTTACACACACAAGCAGATCACCGGAATGAGCATAAGTCATACAGGTAGTCAAACCCTTGATGCCCTTAAACACAACTGGCTTCTTCAACCACCCCAGCTACAAGTCACCCCAGACTTTCTCAGATGGTATGTTGGATGCACAATCCAACGTCCACGAGTTCCAACCACCCCCCCTTTCCCCCCCTCCCTCCCTCTATGCAGGTGTTTGCCCAATTTTTCGGGAGGCTGTGGGGCTTTAAACCTGCCACCAAGTCACCGCCAATCGTACTAACTCACTAGTATTATTTCATCTCAATTGGCCTCAGGAGTGACGCTCGATTTTGGGATCACAGTTAGCTTCACATTAAAACATAACCCCAATACCAAGGTCTCCAAACCTATAGGTTTTCCCTTGGGTGGGTGGGTGGGTGGGTGGGTGGGTGGGTGGGGTGGATAAGGAGGCCGAAGAGAGGGGCAGGGAAGTGAGGGTGAACAAGGGAGAATACAAAGAAAAATGGCCCTGGGTCAGACTCTGGATGCATTACAAGCCCTGGACATGGTCTAACTTATCAGGATCCTTCCTTTTCGATGGTCCAACTTTGTCATCTGCTGTCCTAGACGAAGTATCCAAGCAAGTGGGACCTCCCCCCGCCCCCCAGATTAACGAAGTATCCAAGCAAGTGGGACCTCCCCCCGCCCCCCAGATTAACGAAGAATCCAAGCAACTGGGACCTGGCCCCCGGATTATCATGCCCCAGCCTGCCGCATTCCTGATTATGACTTCGCACATTTATAATTTGCTCTTCACTGAAGAATCATTAGAAAAGAGGTGATGGACTGAAAATAGGTTACCTACCTGTAACCAGAACTGCAGCCGATGTCACAATTCCCAGGAATTTGAACTGTTTCGCCGAAATGCGCCAGAAAAGAATCGAATAAATGAGCAGGACCACCACAGACATAAGATAATACGAAACTGCCGAGTTTTGCCTGCAATTGCTGCCATTGGGATAGCAAACAGTATGATGAGATGTCAGAATGTTATAAGAATCGAGTCCCCAGGGTGACCCTGTCAATGAGTGCCTGATCACAAACACAACTAGTTTGTAACATTGCAAAGAACATGATGCGATTCGTAAACTGTGCGCGTGAAAGTGGCCCATGGGTCTGACGCACCCACGAATGTGGACCACAGGTCCGATAAAACAACGAATGTGGCACATAGGTTCAACATAGCCACGAATGCGGCCCATGGGTCCAACATAACCACAAATACATCACTGCACCCATCCGATCAGTGGAGCCAAGTTCGGATGGACGAGGAACTGCAATCTGTCTGCACACCAGATCAGGTGCATGGGTGGGGGGAGAAGATCAGAAGAAAACAGCCTTTCTTTCCAAAAAGTTGGTTAGAGAATTATAAGCAGACTGCGAACCACTGCACTCCACTATAGCTTTATTTTACCATATGTTCTCTTCATTCGCCAAGGAATATGGAGAGGTTGGACATTCCTCTAGTTAAAAAGAAATCACAGGGTAACGGTAAAAGGTAGCTTCTCGACTGCACGACTGAGTTGCCGGGTCCCAAGATTTACCAACCAAAGAATTTTGATAAACGGAAAAGAAAAAACAAAAGCATTCTGCAATAAACCGCAGACCGTGTCAAAAGTTCAGAGCAGGAGGAACATGCGTTGCAGCTGAAATAGTACACGCATATAACTGCAGTGAAACAGGTTATGAGTTCAAATCCTGATGGATAGAATAATACAAGGGGCTGTCAACCGTTCTTAAAATGCTCGTTTCTTTCAGAAAACGACAAAGGAGTTCAATCCGTGCTAAACGGCAAACGATGAGTAGTATGACCTCCTGGCTGCTGATGCCAAGACCCACCTAGACTATGACCTCCTGGCTGCTGATGCCAAGACCCACCTATGTTACCCAGAGTAACCGAGTGATGACTGGTTTGTACTCTCAAGTCATGCATGTGCATTGAGACCTGCATGGCACATTCAGCCTATGACAGTAGCAAGGTACAAAAGCTCACCTCCTGTTGAGATACAGAGATGGATCTGTCAGATCTGGCGGCTGAGGATCAATGGCAGTCTGCTGCACTTGAATGCTTGTCGCACGTGCATAGACATACGCTCTCTTGACATACTCATCAAGGTCAAGACCTCCATCGCCTTCTCCACCAAACAGGTCATTGTAGTCACAAAAACTCAGTCAGCGGTGGGCTAACAAGCATGGGCACAACAATGGGCAGCATACACGGAAGGAGAACCACAAAAAAAAAAAAAAAAAAAAAAAAAACAGAGAAGAAGGCAGCGAGTGGTGAATAACAAGCACGGCCACGGCCAAAACAATTGGCAGCAGGGTTACCAGCAATTAGAGTCCTCAGTCCAACGAACAATTCAGCCCGATGCCTAAACATTCGGCACCCCTGGAACCAGCAATTGGCCAAAC